TCTATGTATCTGATCTTGTCATTTTAAACAATCTAATTTCCTTTCCAATTTGGATGCATTTTATTTCTTTCTCTTGCCTAATTGCTCCAGCTAGGACTTCTGTTGGCTAAAAGTGGAAAGAGTAGGCATCATTATCCTGTTGTTCATATTGTAGGAAAAGCTGTCAAATTTTCACCATTGAGCATTAGGTTAGCAATGGACTTTTCTTTTATGGTCTTTATTGTATTGCAGTATATTTATTCTATACCTATTCAGAAATTTTTCAGGATGTTCAATTTTGTCAAACATCTCTGCTTCATGGATGAGATGAGAATTTGTATGGTTTTTTTTTTTTTTTTTTTTGGTCCTTAATTCTGACTATGTGGTGTATCACCGTTTTTTGGTCTATATGTATTGAACTATCCTTGTGTTCTAGGGGTATATCCCACTTGATGATGGTGAATGATCTTTTTAAAGCACATTGAATTCAATTTGCTTCCATTTTGTTGAGGATTTTATGCCTGTGTTCATTGGGAATATTGGCCTGTAATTCTGCCTTGTGGTATCCTTGTCTGGTTTTGGTGTCAAGGTAATGCTGGCCTCATAAATGAGTTTGGAAATGTTCCCTCCTCTTCAATTTTATGAAAGTTTAAGAGGGATTGGTATCAGCTATTCAAATGTTTGGTAGAATTCAGCAGTGATGCTATCAGGTCCTGGACTTTCTTTGATGGGTAATGCTTTATTACTAATTCAGCCTCTTCACTAGTTATTAGTCTGTTGAGATTCTCCATTTCTTCATGACTTGGCCTTGGTAGGTTGTATGTGTCCAGGAACACACACATTTATTCTAGGTTGTCCACTGGCTGTGGTACAATTGTTCACGTCATCTCTCATGATCCTTTGCATTTCTATGCAGTTTCCTCTTTCATTTCTGATTTGATTTTGAGTCTTCTCTCTTTCTTTCTTAGACTACTAAGTGCTAAAGATTTTTTTTTGTTTTGTTTATCCCATTTTAAAAAGGCAATGCCCAATCTTACTGATATTTTCAGTTGTTTTTCGTGTCTGTATTTCATTCATTCATGCTCTGATCTGTATTATTTCCTTGCTCTATTAACTTTGGGCTTAGTTCATTCCTCCCTTTCTGGTTTCTTGAGGCATAACATTACATTGTGTATTGGAATCATTCTTCTTTTTTGATGTTGGTGTTTACTGCTAGAGAACTCCCTCTTAGTTGCTTTTGCTATATCCCATAAGTTTGGATATGTTGTGTGTCCATTTTCATTTCTCTTGATACATGTTTAAATCTCCACTTTAATTTTTCCTTTGACCTATTGGTTGATTGGGGGCATATATTTATGAATTTTCCTTATGTTTATGAATTTTTCAAAGCCTTTCCTATTATTGATTTTAAATATCACAACTTTATATTTGTAAATACACTTGCTATGACTTCATTTTTCCTCATTTTTTTAAAACTCCTTTTTTATCTAATATGTAATCTTCCAGCAGTGTTTTATCTAGCTAAATCTTGCTTAATAACCCACATATCATGGCTGGGAGATTGGCCTTTTCTGTTTTCTTAACGCTCCGAGTCACCAAGCCTCATGATGAACTCTCCCAATCTGAATCCAAACTCCCTTCAGTTTCTGCTGCACACCCAGCCTCCCGTGTACTCCAGCCATAAGACTGTCCTACCACGTGTGGAAGACTAGCCCACCTTGTTGTACTGGACCAGCCCATGGAGAAACTTAGTCATCATTGAGTTATATGGGACCCACTCCTCTATGCTAATCTGCTCTGACTTTTCTAGTTTCTACTTCCTTTGCAGTCCAAAATTGGGCTCCTTCCTAATCTTGTCAATTATCAGGAGAGCAAAAAATTAAAAATATGGTACTTCTCCCCCTCTAGAAGGATATTTTCAGTAAAATTAATTCTGCTGGGACTACTGGATCTGTATTACTTCACTCCCCCAGTCAAGAATCTCATAACCACAGACCAAGAAATAAATAAATATAAATATAAATAAATAATTTATATATATCAAGCACTTTCCCTGTACCATGGTTGGTATAGTCTTCTTTCTCTTTCTGATTTCTGTATGTATGATGGCCCCCATTTTTGCCCATGTCACCTACCAGAATCCTTGCCCTCTTTGGGAGAAGAAGTGGAAGTTATAGAGATGTAGCCTTGATATTTCAAGACTGTTGTTGTAACCATCAATTATGTCTGGAATTAGGTGGACAAATCAGGATTGAAGTTCTTGCTCCACAAATGACTTAATGATGAGACTGAGATCTGGTTAGTTCATTTCATTAAGCCTTTGTTTCTGCTTTAATAAAATGGCAAAGAATGCATCCATCCTAGCACTGGCCTGATGACTTAAATAACATGAGTCACCCAGAAATTAGTATAGTACTTGGCACCGTGAAACTTTTAATGGTTGTTGGAATAAACGGGCTGTCTGTTCCTGCACAAAACCTTCTCTGTAGCACCAGGTTTTTAAAACTTGTCTATTTGGTTGCCAGCTGTTGCCAGTTGTCTTGCTTCTGCTGTGTCCCTTCAATTTCCAACTAGCTTCACTACACAGAGTGGTTTTGACTTATTGCTGAGGGTGCCTTGGCCCTCCCCTCTTGGGGTAAGGTGCACAGGTTTTTGTGGCAGATGTTTTCTTTGCTGTGAATGTTTGTCAGAACTTCTGCTATGCAACACCTTTTGCACACTCATCCTCTTAATTAATCCCCCACCCCAAGCCCTGGGACCAGTTACTACTAACCCAGTATCTCAGTGACAAACTAAACCACCACTATTCTGCTTTGCAGTGTTGGACTGGAGACATGTGAACCTATACCTGCTTTGCTGGCTGCTCAGTTGAATTTTTCCAAAGCAGAATCTTGAAGGACACTGTCAGGTTTAAAGGGTGAAAAGAGACATTTTTCTTAGGGGTAGACTCCTTAAGGACCTATCAGCAGGACTTCTTCACCCCGGCAGGGGCACTTCATTCTGATAGTGGCAATTGGGTCCAGTTTGCCGTCTCTCCGACAGTTGTACAACTAGCCTCACTGTCACCCCCAGAGCGAGTAGCAGCCATCCAGCCTCACTCCCTGATCAATAGCCCAGGTCCCAGGCCAGTGGTGTTTCCTTTAAGCACCTTCAACATCAAGTTTTAGTAACTCCAACCTCTTCCTTTGGTAACTGTACCTGTTTCCTGCTAGTTGCTACTTTACGAGATAATCATGTTTCTTTTCTTTTTTCATTCTATTCTTTCTTATTTTTGTTTTTCAGTTTTCTACTCCATAATTTCTTGTACCTAATTAGCAATTCTTTGTGCTAAAAAAAAAATCTGCTAAAATTACTGGTGTGATTCCTCAGCCTTGAGAGACCCTGGCTGAAAAATTAATTATTGCACGTCCCACCTCTCCAAGGAAGAGCCAACACTCACTCGCACAGAGTTCCTCACAGCAGGAGCACAGGCCTGTTTTGTGGAGTGCAATATGTCCCCCAGGGAAATTCCTGGTTTTAGCCCCAGAAGTTCCACATCCCAGAATCTTTTCAGCCCTAGAAAAACCAGACGAGGGATCACCCTGTCTGTGGCCCATGTTCCACCCATCAGCATATCTAAAAATACTCTGAGAGCAATCCAATGGTTTCACATTTAGTCCTTTTAATTAGAAATGCAAATAGAAATAGAAGCTGGCATAATTTAGTGCTTAGAAGATATACATATCACTTTTTTGTTTCTTTTGCTATACGGGGGATTGAATCCATGGCCTTGCACATGCTAAGCAATACATATTACTTTTGAAATATGGTATTAATTTAAAATTAATTTAATTTAAAACCCTAATCCAAACACTCAATATCTGAAATGCTCTAGAATCTGAAACTTTTTGAGCATCAAGCCAGGGCTTAAAAAGTTTTGAATTTCAGAGCATTACAGATATTGGATTTGCAGATTAGGGATGTGTGAAAGTCAGTTTGTCATTGCTGTAACATGACAAGAACGACTCGGAGGAGGAAAGGTTGATTGTGGGGTCATAGTTTCTGACTCCATAGCTCTGGACCTGAGGTGAGGCTGACCAGCAAGGCAGAGGGCATAGTGGAGGACAGCTGTTCAGTTCATGGCAGCCAGGAAGCAAAGAGCAAGAGTGAGGACCAGGGACAAAATACAACTCCCAAAGGCACACACACAGTGACCCACCTCCTCTGCCATGCCCTACTTGTCCACAGTTACCACCCAGTGACCTACTGAATTATGAATCCATCAGATGTTTAATTTCCCAATTAGGTTACAACTTTCATGATCTAATCATTTCACTTCTGAACGTTCCTAAATTAACACGTGAGCTTTGGGGGATGCCACTTATCCAAACTATAATAAGATGATTGACCAATAAACTCTGCACATAGATTTAAAGATGTGGAAAACTCTGACCTATGAAACAGCATTTCAGGTGAAGGATATTTAAGGATCTCCACTGTGTGTATTCAATCTGTGATGTAGGATCCTGGAGAGTAAGACCTGTATTTTGTATTCGATCTGTATCCCAAATTTGACTGTATTCATTTACTAGGGCTGTCATAACAAAATATCACAGATGGAGTGGCTTAAACAACAGAAATTCATTTTCTCACAATTCTGGAATTTATTTTCTCATACTTCTGGAGATTAGAAGTCCAAGGTGGAGATCATGACAGAGTTGGTGACTGGTGATCTCTTGTCTCTTCCTGGCCTGCAGAAAGCCACAAGGTAGGACGGGGAGATGCTGGAGTCTCCTCCTCTTCTGACAAGAGAACCAGTCCTCTTGGTTAGAGCCATACCTTTGTGCCCTCATTTAACCTCTTTAAACATTCTGTCCACTGTCATATTGAGGGTTAATTCTTCAACATTTATAATTTTGAGAAATATTATTTAGTCTATAACCTGACCATAAGTGCACTGGAGAAGTAGGGTAGAAGTGTTATCTAAAACTCTGTGGAATCTATTTTTTAATTAGTACACAGGAAATGAATAGGAAAAACTCTTATTTTAAAAACATAGTTTATTTTTATTACCTTCAATATATTAGACATAGACTTCTTCTCAATTTCATACCAAATAATTTTTTTTTCTCCAGAGATTAGTTTGGGATCCATCTCTCTGACACATGAGTTGACATCACTTATTGGAAGAGTGATACAATTTTCCAAAGACTGAACATGAAGTATTTTCCATGCTCTTTTCACAAGTCAGAGGTAAAATCTAATGGCTTGATGTAATTTACAATCCTCATACCATGTATTCAAAGTGAATAGCGTGGACTTGTCTGGTCTAGCTGTGAATACCTGTTTCAAACAGTTCCTGAAATTATCGAAACCACCGTCTACTGTGAGAAATGCATTATTTTGATTGCAGCTCCACTTCAAGGGCCATTATGTGGTACTTTGTCAATGCGAGATGTCTCATTAATTAATTCTTCTTGAGTTTTCAAACAGATGATAAGGAATACCACCGGCAAGGAAAAGGAAAACAACTTATCCCACGTAAAATGGGGATAATTCTCATCCCTGCTGGTTTCACAAAGCTTGAAATGAAAATGTAGACATGCTAAAAGCATTGGCAAATTTAAATTCAAGAAAATTCTTGGGTTGTATATTTTGCAAGTAAAAATGTGATTAAATCACATTTCTGGAAAAGCGGGGGAGATAATGATGGTTAATCTTGTTAATCTTGCTTTTACTAAAGTTTTGGCTTTTCTTCCCATCATTGAAAAGTTGCCATGATGATCCAAAATGATTAAATCCCCAGGAAAAAAAAATCACTCATTAAGTGAGGGCAAGGAGTGACAGTCCTCTTCATCTCTGAATCTCAATTCAGGGCACCATTACTTTCCCCTTCAGGACAGGAATGCCCAGTGTGTTACCAACAGTAAACTCTACCTCCTAGCTACTTCCATGGCAGGGACAATTGCAACCCAAAGATCAGATTTTACAAGGTCAGTCAAACAATTTGCTTAGCTTAAAATTAGTAAAAATTCAAGCTCTTAAATATCAACTCAGATAAGAAAGGCAACACCAAAAACCACGTTCAGTGTTCAACCTGGCTCAGCTTCCCTAGCTTCTTTTCACTCCAACACACCCAGAGGTACATGCCTTGTATGAGATGACTAACTACAATTCATCATCAAGGTCTCAAATAAGATTCTACTGTCTCTGAGAAGATTGCTCTGACAGTCTAGGAGAGGAATGGGGCTCCAGGTTTTCCTGTCCCTTCTTATCAAAGGTGTTCAACTACTTACCCCTTTGAATAATCTCACTGGACTATGAGCTTTACAAGGAATAAGAACATGTCTGTGTTTCCTTGCCCATTCATTTATTTATCTGGACAGTCATCAAATATTTTTGAGCACCTTCTATGGACCACATTCTGTTTTAAGAATAGAGACACTGCAGTTACCAAATGGTAATGTCCCCAAGTTGCAAAGCTTCCATTCTAATAGAGGAGGCAAATAGGAAATAAATATATTTGCATATCAGTCTCTTAAGCAGTCTAAAGTAGAATAAAGGGAAGACCTTGTTGAGGAAGTAAGGGCAGAAGTGTGTCATTGTCTGCAGGAAGAGCATTCCAGGCCTGGGGAAAAGCAAGCACCCACCGTGGGGCTAAGACCGGGCAGACTCCATGGATTGTAGGCACAGTAAGGCCACTGTGCAGGAAATAAGATCAAGAGGAGACCAACAGCCAGATCACATGGACCCTTCAGGAACCGCAATGAGGATATCAGGCCTTGCTTTGATGGTGGTGGGAAGCACTTGTAGATTTTTTTTATTGGGATAAAAGTAAAGGAAAGAAGACATGGGAGAAGCTATGGAGGAATCTGACCCTTTACAGGAAAAAAAAAATGCCACCTAACTCCTGACCTAGGTAGGGGTAGAGATAAAGAATAGAACACAGAGGTCCAAGGACTGGGCCACGGGATCTTCCATCATCTGAGAAGTCAGTGAGCACCGGAAGGCACAGAAACAGGGCACAGGAGCACAGTGAGAGAACAGGACAAGGTAGGCCTGTTCACACCTGGCTCCATCCCACCTGGAACTAAAGTGGCACAGGAGAGATGCTCAATGAATATTGACAGGATGCCAAATTAATGAAGAGATAAAATAATGGGATTTAAAAAAAATAAAACAATTGAAGCATTTTGCATTCTGCTCTGCCAATTCTTCAATATGATGCTATGACAAAAAGATTCTAAGGCTCCCCTGAGGATTTTATGGGTGGAAATGACATTTTAAAATGCATATATGGGTAGGATGAAAACAGCGAGCACAGATGCAGTTTTGATCTTGATTTCCCTCTTGTTCCTAAAAACAGGCTTTGTGTATTTTTTTATTGCAGGATCCAAATCAGAGAAGAGATGGACCAAATGAAAGGGTTCAGCCTCACCCTGTCCTTGGAGTCCTATCAGTGGACAAGGTACACACCTCAAAAGCCAATTCATACAGTGTGATTGATTTCGGGCTGCCTGGCAGAAATAGGCTACCCCCTTGCCAGTTTCATTTTACAAGTTATTTTCTTTTTTAGCCAGACAAGCATATCTCATGTCTTCCGGCTGCCCTGGATATCTAAGGGAAAAAAGACTGTCACTGGGGATCCTGTGCACGTAGGACGCAGGCTGATCCCCACCTGGTCTACACAGTAGTTGGCCTCTTTCCCTGAATTTAGCGGATAGCCCTCCTGAGCTGTGTGAGACTTTAACACGGGAAAGGTGAGCAGAAAGGGGGTCCCAGGTAGGAATGCTTTCAAATATTTCATGAGCTATTGTGAGATAGTGCCCTATTCAGAAACACAAAATTTCCCATTCAGTGCCAATAGTAATTACCTGTACTGAGAACCCGTCTTGCTAAGTTATCTTAGGAAATTCTCCTAATAACTTGGAAAAGGGGTTAATTTTTTCTATAAAAAGGTAAATTGGACTTGGAAGGCCTGACAAATGTATTCAGTTACCCAATTTGTACTGTCAAGAGCCCAATTTTTACTCCAAATCCTTGTGACACAGATTTTTTTTTTTTTTAATTCACATCACCCCATGCTTTCTCGAGGCACACCACTGAACAATGGATTGAAAAGGACATAAACAAGGCTTCTTGGAACTGAGCAAAACCGTGTAAGTGTCCACACAGCATTGATCTCATTTTCCCCTGACTTGCTTGAATAAAGATAAAGCTACCCTGACGTCACAAAATCTAAGACCAATAAATTTATTATAATTAACTTAGGTGGATTTTGAGACTCAGACAAGCTGTCAATTCAGTTTGATTAAGATCAAATAACAGTGCCTAATTCAAAAATCGTGCATGGTTATATGGATAAGCTTTTATTTCCACACAACTTCATGCCAAGTAAATGTTATCAATCAAGAAACTTCAGGGAACAATTTCTTAATCTTTACTAATTATTCTGTTTACTAAGCGAATATCAGAATCCTTATCCAGAAAAAGCGATTTCTAAAAAATACCCCGTACTCGGCAGCATGTTTCATGTACAGCAGCAGATGCCTCACCTGATAATCTTTCTGGCAAACGTTTCATCTTTAATCTGCAGGTTTAAATCCCACCATGCTGCTTTCTAATCATCTTTTAACTTCTGTTCTTACTGTTTCTTTTCATGTGCAGTTCAGAGTGGAACTCTAAGATCCTGAAAAGAATACTCCCTGATGTAAATGTGCTCATTTAAAAATAATAAAGAAAAAGTCCACTTCATGTATTTCAAATACCTAAACTTCCAAGACATCTTCTCCCCAGCCCCAGGAAACACCATTGGGTATGTGTACCCAGTGGTCTTCTTTACTGTTCTTCATTTATTTAACAGTTTCTAGTCAAAAGCAGCTAAAAGAAATGGACTGGGGGATCTTCTCTCCCAACTGTATTTTGTTGGATTTTTTTAAAATTCACTATAACTCTGTGAGACTATATCAACAATCTATTGTGTGTGTAGGTATAGGTGTAGGTAATTTGTGGGTAAGAAATGTGTATACATCATATATTATATATATATGTATATATATATGACAAATAATAGATTATTATATGAAATTGTAACAGAAATGCCCAACTACTTCCGTAACACTGTTAAATATAGCACCTGCTTACTTTGCTGGAAAAATCTTTTTCTTTGAAGTGCTCATCTGAGGGTGGGAGGCCTTCTACAGTACCTACTGATGACTAGTGCTGTATGCTTGTGACCACTGGGGTCTTTGCTTTATGTGGTAGCTTCATCCTTCGGTGGATCTGCAAGTGTTAGGCTGTGTTGAAAAAAAAAAAAAAAGCAGAACACATGATGTTTCCTGAGAACAGAAATCACTGCAGTGTCAATCATGTGGATGGAAGCTGGTCTCCAAAGTCCTGAGGGCAAGAAGGGACACCCAGTATGTCATCCTTGATCTGGGCTTTGAGGTGACTGATCAGAAGGATCAAAGCAAGATTTCTCCTGCAGAGTCATACCAGTTGCCAGCAAAAGAAGGACCTTGGGTGCCTGAGATTTCCCCAGGACCCATGCTGTCATAGGGGTCTGTAAACCTGTGGCACCAACTATATATATTTTATAACTGCATTTGCCTACACCTTTTGCCAAGCATATTTCATTCTTTCAAGGAATCTGTAAGATGCTTGTGCAGGCATTATATAATATATTTACATGATATTGATATAGCCTTCCACTCTGGGGCCAAAAAACGCCAGCATGACTGCAAAGGGGAATTAGAGAATAATCCCAAGGACACGGTGATTTCCTGGAATCCATCCAGGCAGGAGACTGGTGCTTGGTTCCACCAGTTCATTTTCTTTCCTCTGAGAACTTGGGGGATCCAGCTTTGTTTTTATTGAGAAAAGCAGTATTCTGTGGAAGCCCACTTCGGGTAGGAGGGCAGGAAGCACAATCAACATGGGCTGGGAAATTTAAGGAAAGCAGGGGGCTATGAGCCAAGGCTTCAAAGGAATACCCTAGTCTGTTTTCTGTTACTATTACATACTACCAGAGACTGGATAATTGTAAAAGAAATTTATTTCTCACAATATTGGAGACTGGGAAGTCCAAGATCAAAGGGCTTCTTGCCTCATTACAGTGTGGTAGAAGGTACCACATGGCAAGACCATACCAGAAAAGGGAGGGGAGAGAAGGAGGAGAGGAGGGAGGGTTCAGAGGCAAGAGAATGCTCAAAAGAGACAGAGTCCAATTTTATGCCAAAGCTACTCCCAAATAACCAGCCCATAGGGTCCCCTGATCTAATCACCTCTGGCAGATACCCTCCCAATATGGTCACAGTGGCCAGGAAACTTCAATATGAATTTGGAGGGACATTTCAACCACAGCAAGGTGTAATAGTTTAGATGGGTAAAAAAGAGGGAAATAGGGTGCCCTGGGCAGAGAGATCCTATGAGTAGAGGGAGGCAGCAGGAATGAAGCCCATCATGTCCCTAGAAGCTCACGGGCTGACTGGAGTGGGATCCAAGGAGGGACCAGTTAGGATTGTGAACTGATACCAATGGGATGTGGCGGGGATGGAACCTTTCTCTGGTGAAACAGTGGAACAAGGCCATGACATTCACCCTGGGAAGGCAGGTAGGATTGACAGAAAAGACAGCAATGATTAGAATAGTGACCCATCTCAGGGGAAAACACTGGCAGGGGGTGATTCTGTGAGGAGGGGTGAAGACCACCCAGGAAAACACGGGAGATACAGGATAGAGTGAAAGAGAGATGAACCAAAGAAATACATAGAAGGAAAAATGATAAAGCATAGAAATCAGGTGGTATCTTTGCAAAAGGTAAGTATGTCAATTTCCTAGGACTGGTGTAACAGAGTACCACGGACTGTGTAACTTACAGAAATTTGTTTTTTGACATCAAGGTACTGACCAGGTAGTTTCTCCTGAGGCATCTCTGCCTGCCTCTTGGATGCAATTGTCCCCCTATGTCTTCCCATGGCCTTCCCTCCATGTTTGTGCCTGCTTCTTTCCACTTCTGATAAAAATGGCAGTCCTGTGGAGTTGGGAAGCACCCTGGTAGCCTCATTTTAACTTAATGACCACTTTACAGACCTTGTCTCCGAATGCAGCCATTCTCTGAAGTACTAGTACTTAGAACTTCAACATATAAATTGGAGAAGACATAACTCAGTCCCAATAGCAAGGTAGATTGGGGAGAAGGAGGCAGAAGATGATAAATTCAGTTTAAGCATATTGAATTAGGAGGGTGTCAAGCCAGTCTGCAATAATCTCTTGCTGTGAAGGTTTCTAAGTAGCAAATTTATTTTTTCAGTCCTCAAAGGATGATTCACTTTTAAAAGCAACTGCCATTGCAATATAATGTGGGGAGTCCTAGAAGCAAATTTCCTATGGACCCTTCATGCTAGAGAGGCTTCTAATTTTCTGCAATAATTTATACCAGCATGTCTGAGTATTCCACACATCATTAGTGCCCCAAAATGCTTTGCAATAACAAGCTTTCTATGGCCAAAGAAATTTGGGGAACTTTACAGACTATGGTTTCTCTCCTAGAGAACCACAATCCAAAGAGACAAAGGCTTTTAGAAGTCTCGGTCAGTATTTTGCTTAATCTGCATTCCCCATGTGATTTAACCATGAAACACTCTTTTACATATAATGTTTGTGAATATCTTGCAAAATAGATTTTTGTGAAAAGTTCTTCTTAGACCTGCTTTGAAACTCATGTTCTGGCCTCAGTTAACCCCTGGAGTAGCTTTTGAGTGTGGCATCAGCAGGACAGAAGACAACCTGTAATACCCAACAATAATTTTGCACGCTGAGAGGGCTAACATACAAAAACCATGGCAGCAGATTAAGGTAATGATGTTCTCTCTTATCCTATTGGAAGTGGAGTAATGTTCTTCCAGGGAAGATGTCCACCTCCCCATTTCAGGAAATCACAAATAGGTTTTGGTATAAGCAAGAGCAAAATTAGGTTTTCTAATGGAATTAAGTTTGCCAATCACCTGGCTTTAGAATGAAGAAATTTTCCTGGATGACTCAGGGATCCCAATGTAATCACAATACCCCTCTGATGGGAAAGAAGCAAGTAGAAGTGCCAGAGCCAGAGAGGTGACTACCGGAGGGGGCTGGACTGGCCGTTGCTGGCTTTGATGACAGAAGCAAGCCAGGAGGCACAAATTTCCCCAAAGGCTGGAAAAGACAGAAAATTATCTTCTCAACCTCCAGAAGGACCTCAGCCTTCTCACCCCTTTAATTTTAGTACAGTGAGACCCTTTCAGATTCCTGATCTTGAGAACTACAGGTAAATAAGTCCATGTTGATTCAAGTCATTAATTTTTTTGGATGTTTCTTATGGGAGAAATAGAGAACTAACACAGAACCTCACCAGGATAATTTGACGGGTCTTACAAATTGTTGGTTTTTAAAGGTAAGTTATATGCTTGCTTGAGAAGAAACATAATATCTAAATATAAGTGCTTATTATTCATATGATTGCAAGACAGTTCTGTTTCAAGTGTTCATAATCCAACATGAGAACAGCAAGACCATCCCAATCATCAGATACACAATGCAGATCAGAGCAGAGTGCATCTATTATCTGGGCCTGCATTATTTGTTGACTGGAGGTAATTTTCCAAAACAAATCTATGATTACGATTAAGATGATAGACTACACACAGCAATGATGTGCCTGTCGTTTGATTCAGTCAAAACAGGACACAGTCACTCCTGCATTTGCTGCTTGCCACGCTGGGCCCAAAAGTATCAGTTCATTCTGCGAATTTTAATTGTGTTGCAGCTACTGCCTCCAAGACACTGTTGTAGACACTGCAATGGCTGCAGTCTCCGTTCCTACATGACTCACATTTCAGTGAAGTCAATGAGGGTAGCAGACAAATAGCAGTATTTACCTCTCAGGCAAAGGGTGGGTATTAGTTTCCTGGGGCTGCTGTAACAAAGTACCTCACGCTGGGTGACCTTAGCAACAGAAATCTACAGTCTCACATTTCTGGAAACCAGAAGTTTGAAATGAAGGTGTTGGCAGGATTGGCTCCTTCTGCAGGCCTCTCAGGTACCTCCTGGCATTCTCCCGGAGTCTGCACATCATCTTCCCTCTGCCTGTGTCTTCTAGGTAGGCAAACTTCCCCTTCCTATAAGGAGGCTGTTTATACCACAGTCACTCTAATAACATCAGCTTTACTTGACCATTTGCAAAGAGCCTAATTAAAAACAAAAGTCAGATTAATAAGAAGAGGGGGTAAAACGTCAGCCTCTTGACAGGGTCGGGGGACATGATTCAGCCCCTTAGCAGGGTGGCTTTAGGTTCGCCTTAAACTGAGTCTTCTTTGAGCACTTACAGTTGTTGTTCAGTCAAGTCTGAAAGTGAGAGGATAACGTCACAACAACAATCATGTCTTTGTCTTATTTTATAAAAGCCTCCCTATAAGTATATCATATTTTTTTCTTCTCAAAAACTCTATAAGACACAAATTAATACCCTCATTTATAAAGATAATTAGATTTAAAAAACATTGCTCTCCATGCTGAGATCACAGAGCATGGCGGTCAGTGGTAGGTGTGGATTCACATACAAGTTGGAACTGTTTTATCTAATTTCGAGGCTCAAGATCATCTGTCACTTGAGATTACTTGAATCTGGCAAAGATGGTCATGATGAAGATTGAGGAGTTACTAGAATGTGATCCCACCCATTACTAGATAAAATTCTCACCAATATTATCCCTTTCTGTTACATTGAACTCCCTTCAGATGAGCTGAGAAATCACCTCTTCCGGGATTGACCATCCTCCTGACTCTCAAACCAATAAACCTTTCTTTCCTGAGAGAGACATGCTGTGATCAATATTTTCCTGCATCGAACAACCCTAGAAGATCTGGCCTCAAACTTAATCCCATTTTATTCACTTTCATTCTCTTCTTATTCAAATTTCTTCCTTTAAAAAAAAATCAAAAGAAATTTCAAAAGGCAGATGATCATGGCCACACAGGGGGCTGCTCTAACGGAGCTTCAGAGAGAGCTCCATGCTGCCAGTCACTCAAAAGGCTAAGCGGCCCCCGGGGGGTTATTAATTGAGAAAGCATGTGATCTGTATGCTGCAGAGGAGGGACGGCCCACTCTTCATTACAGATCTATGCTCTGCTTTCTCCACGACCTTTGCTGGAACTTGTGAGGTAGCAGGGCCGTCCACGGGCTTCGGGCAAAAGGAGGAGACTATTTAACATGAGCCACAGTGTGAAAGTGAGGACTCACACCCCTGCTATGACCTATTCTTCTATGTTGCCTTAATTATCTCCCAATTTGAAAATATTCAAATTGCATGACTTCTGCAATTGGAATTGCATGGGTTTCTCCATCAATGGTTCTATATTGTGTCCTATCATTCTAATAAAACAGATTTTGAGGAGGCAGCTCATTAGAAAATTTTACAAGTGAAAATCTTACCTCTGACAAGACATATGAATGAACTGGCAAAAAAATATATAAAAATTGTGTCTAGATTTCTCTAGTAGTGGTACTAACAGATGATAGAAAACACAATCTTGTCAACATACCTAAGAAAGAAAACTGTTCTTGAGCCAAGAGCCAAGGCCTTCAAAAAGTTCCCCAGGGTATGCAAATCACTGTGATATTTAGAACTTGTGTCTTCAATTAAAAAAAAAAAATGACATCCAGTTAAACCAAAGCCTTAAGAGAACTAAGCTCTTAGAGATATCTGTTTTGAAATCGATTACTTCAGCCACTCTAAGCAATGGCTATCTTAAATTCTGTAGTTCTTTATGGATTAGAAAATACATGTACTACATCCTCGAATCCCCCCATCCAACCTGAAAAATAGATAGGACCGGAAATATTGCCATCCCCACTTCATTGATGAGAAAATTGAAGCTCGGGAAGTCAGCACAATTTGTTTCTGTTTCAGAAATTTTGTCACCCCTGAGACTCTTGTTCTGTGCAGAGTACGTTATGTCTCACTTATTTACACTCTACTCTTAGGATGAGAGCTACCACATGCTTTTGCATCATCTGCATTCTCAGTTACCCTTGAAAACCTGATAGTGCCATGTCCCTGATGGGACCAAACCCAGACTAGATTTCATACACTTGGCTGTATCTCACAAGTACTTTGAATTCAGCAGGTTCAAAACTTGATATACCTTGCAACAAGCACCTGCTCATAGTACCACCACTCACCTACTGAAGGAAGAGAGAGACAGTGTGCAAGGAAATTGTTGGAGGGAACTTCTCGACATAGCAGTTCTTTTTCTCAGTGTCTCTCTGTCGTCTCAGCATTTACTAATTGCAGCATTTACACCATCAGAATTTACATCTTTCTATATGCATCTCCTCACTCCAGGTTGTATTCATGCTTTGACTTCTCCTCAACATTTCAAAGATTTCAAGAGCAAGAGCTTGATTGGCATGCCATGTATGTTTGCTGAGATTTATCTGTAATTTAAGAATAGTTGTAGATTATGGAAAAAGTAAGAGAGAGACTCTCCCATATGCCTCCAATTTCCCGTATTATTAACATTGTGTATTAGTGATAGAGGAAAGACAGATGTGAATGATGGGAACACAGAGGTTATGAATCATTCTATAAAATGGGACTACTGTGCTGACCTCCACATGCTTTCTTTTCCAAGAAGTAATTTATCTGCATCCCTGCCTGGTCTAAGTGGACAGGATATGTCATAATCCTCAGCAAAGTACCTATTAGCTGCAGGAGAAATGCAGGCCCAAGATCATGTCAATAAGAGGAACTCAAGTTACCCTGAAAGGGGAGACTTTTGTGACCCTTTTTCACAGACCACATCCTGAAACTCAGGGAGATAAGAATAATTTCTCCTAACCCTAAAATCTGTAAGAATTTACCATTAAGAATCCAATTAGAATCTGTCAACTTGGTCAACTGAGGTTGTCATGGCAGTTGGGACTTGGAAGTCAGACATCATTTTGCTGTGAGTAAAAAGTCAAGAGGTAGACCTGGGTGGGGCTGTCTAGAAACTTCTCCGAGAGCCCCAAATAGAATGAGTGCAGGAGAGGCACCCTCTTCTCTCTGAGAGGACCCACTCTCTCCCTTGAGAGTATCCCCTTTCCCTTTTCCTAACCCTTCAGTAAGCCCTGGCCTGTCACTCTGAGCGACCTGTCTGAAATCTTTCTGACTTGATCAGGTTTGAAGGGAGGTTTTCAGACTTGAATCAGTTTCCCAAAAGGCCCCCACCCTGTGACATGCGTATGGTACATTTGTCACAATTAATGAACGAATGTGGTTTGCTATTAACTGAAGTCTACACTGTTTTCAGAGTTCCTTAGGCTTCATCTAATGCCCTTTTTACTCTCCATGTCTGGGTAGCCTGCTCTTGGCTGTGACAGTTTCTGACAGTGTGTTGACCTTGACAGATTCAGGGAGCACTGGTCAGGTGTCTTGTAAAATGTCCCTCCATTTGGAGTTGTCTGAACTTTCTCCTATGACCAGACTGTTCCTGTGGGTTTAGGGAAGAAGACTGAAGAAGTGAAAATGAATTGATTGTCACATGATGTCATCCCTGTCAATCTCGGTCACCTGGTGAAGCTATGACTCAGTTTCCACTATGAAGTTGTAATATCTCTCTCCTCTACACTGTACTCTTTGGAAGAAAGTGCCTCTGAGTTGCCCACAGTGAAGAGGAAAAGTTAACTCTCTCCTTGAAGGAAGAACATAGCACATGTGATTTGGAATTTTGCACAGATTTGGAGTTTTTTTATCCTTTTTTGTTTATTGATTTATTAATTTATCCAATCATTTATTTGAGCTTTCATTTATGTAAACATGGACTCATGGGTATTTATTTTATACTTTGGGTTCTATTCTGGCTCAAATTCTTCCAGCTTTGATCACAAGAAGCTCTTTTTTAAGTTTTATATTCATATAAAATAAAGTAGTTTTCTATTAAAACAAAAACATCATTGATGGGTGCAATCTTGAATTTTACAATTGGAGAAAATAACATATGCCAAGTAATTGAGATGCTTAGTACCTGATCTTAATCAACCATGTGTGACTTTCTGTTCTTTTGTATGCATCCCCTTCCCACCGCTTTCCTAACTCACCTTCCTATCATAACTAATCCTCACGTGCAGTTTGGCAAGATGATGAACTAGGTTTATCTGTTTCAGAGATGATGAACCCAGACACAGAACTTCTCTGTGACATGCCCCCAGGCTGTGCCCGCCACATGAGGAAACTCAAACCTCCCTCCTGCAGAATGATGGTCTGCCTCTCGCTTCTGGGCCTGGCAATCAACAAGGTGTCCACGGTGCCCTTTGCAAAGGCTGGAGTTCCCCTGCAAAGGGAGGCTGATGTTCTGCACTGCTTCCCCTGGGTAGAGCCCCCTCCTGCATGCAGGGCCCTGAGGAAAGGAAATTTCAGCTGCTTCTCAGGGCCATCTGCTGTTCTGAATTCCCACCTCCTCCAAGGAGCTTCACAAACAAGCTCCCTGTGTTTGCCCTGATCCTCAAAGACCTTTATTTAATATCCACTCACCTGTTAGGTTTGGCCTTCTTTTCAAAACAAACAGGACTCATTTCTGTTCTGAAGAGCTAAGCTCTATTAAGCCACTACCAAAGGCTGACTGAAGATGAAATTTTAAGCTCCCTGTGCTGCATTAAGAAGGGAAGGGAAGGGAGGGCCGAAAGACAGAAGGCACACACCGGGTAAAAGAGAAAGTGCTGGGGTTCCATTCAGAGATTTGCTCTTAATTAGCTCTCTGACCTCAAAGCACCCTGTCACTCCCTGTGGGCCTCAGTCTCTTCATCTGTAAGATGTAAACGTGGGGATTAGGGCCTTTCCAGAGTTAGAAGATAAATTCTTCAATGAACAATTTTATTTTATACACACATCGTTGGATTAAATTTTCTCTAAACAATATTTACATTTTCTGCATGTGCTTACTCTGATATTTGTTTAAATTTCTAAAATATTTTCACTTTTTAAATTGACAAACAAAAATCTATACATTGTGCTATGGCTAGATCAAGCTAATTAATGCATTACCTCCATAGACGAATAATTGAGTCTGATTATTTTTTGGAGTGATATATTTATATATAATGATATTTTGCATTTTATTCCATATCAGTTTTTAAAAATTTAATCCATGTGGTTTGAGAGCCTGTACAATTGGTTTACTGAGCCATTAAGAGCTTGTGGTCTAAAAACTATTGAAGGTGGCATGGGAGGATTAGATGAACTCTAGATAGGGCAAAGAAGAGGGAGGGGAAGGGAGGAGGCATGGGGTAGAAAAGACGGTGAATGAGACGGACATCATTACCCTAAGTAGATGTATGAAGACACGAATGGTGTGACTGTATTTTGTGTACAACCAGAGACATGAAAAATTGTGCTCTGTATATGTAATATGAGGTGTAATGCACTCTGCTGTCATACATAACAAATTAAAATAAATAATTAAAAAATAAAAACTATTAGAGCTAGCTGGTGCCTAAGAGAGTCCACAGCTCACTCATGAGGCTTCTAGGTAGGGCTTGGATAGATGCTCAGAGTCACCAGGGGATGTCAAGAAGATGTCAGAGTCACCAGGGAACTCCAATCCTGTCTATCTGCCTGATTTTTTTTCCCCTTGAGTCTGTCTTAACTGTGTGGTCTTGAGCAAGCAACTCAACTTTCTGAGCTTCAGTGTTTTTATCTCTAAATAAGATCTGATGTCAGGAGTATATTAAATAATACAAGTCACATCTCGTCCAAATTATATAATCATAAAAGACTCAAGGGGAAAAGTACTCTTATTGAGGTCTGGGCCATCTTCCATGGGGGAGAGCACTGTGAAGACTCCCCAGTGGAGAGGTCTCGAGGAAATGGTGAGTCTTTGGTGCACCTTTGGGCCGAGTCCCCTCGGATGCCCCTGGCTGTGTTGTGGGGGTGCCTTGGGCTGTGCACTGCTGAGAGCTTGTCAGACCCCTCGTGGTTTTCATCACTGTAACCAAAGTAACCGACAAGCACTACTTAAAGATTGATCTTGGCTTATGGTTTCAGGGGCGCAGTCCATGGCTGCCTGGCTCCAAGGCAGGGACGTCATGGTGAAAGTCCACGGCAGAGGAGAACTGCACAGCTCATGGTGGACAGGAAGTACAGCAGAATGGTGAGGGACCGGGACAGCCCCCAGGGCCATGCCTTCCGCGACCTCCTCGTTCCAGATGTTGTCCATCTGCCGCTTCTTTTCACCACCTCCCAGGAAGTCCATTCAGATTATGAATCCAGAAAAGGAGTTAATCCACAGATGGGCTCAGGTCCCTCGTGGTCCAGTTGTTTCACCATTACTCCATCTCCTGGCCATGCTTCCACCACATGAGCTTTTGGGGGGACTTTCCACATCTCAACCATAACACCCAGATACTCCTCAACTATTTGCCTGAAGTTGCAATAATGATGTTATTTATCATATAATAATAATAATGCCTGCCATATTTTCTAAAGTGAAGAAATTTCAACTAAAGTAAACAATCTGTTTTCCCTTTCAAATCTCTTTACTTTGGTTGGAAATCTCCCCACTGTACTCTTCATGCTATTTTAGCCCCCTTCTAACATGTTCTCAATCCCATCCCAATCCATCATCCACCCATGCAAACCCCATCAGTGACTTATCTCCAGGTTCTCCAAGCCCTTTCCAGAAAGAGAACCTGGTCCCCCAAGATAATCAGGATACTTAGTCAACAGGTGTCATCTTTAAAGGAAGTCTTCTATGGAGGAGGAGGGTTGTCTCTGCCCTCCTAAAATATAACAAACATGAGAGCATTTTTATAAATAAAAAATAAAGGGCTTTATTCTCCCTGTTGAAAATTAGAGAGAAAACTTCTCCTTGCTCTTCTTAGAACATTTGAAAACTTGTCATTTTAATCCCTTTCTCTTTTAACAATAAAAAAAATCTTTTAAACAGACCCAGGAGCCGTCCCTACAAAAGTTAGCAGAGAAGATAAAATTCCCATCTTCCAGTTTCAGGTGGGGATAGGAGTCCACCTTAGGTGAGCACATGCTTCAGGTTAACAATAAGACTTCAGTGGATGAAAAGCCAGAAAGGGACGGGACTCATTGCTCCTTGCACCTCCTGAGCCCACACAGCCCACTGTGCCTCCCTGTCTGTGCTCAGGGAGGCTGCTCCAGGTCTTGCCATTGGCCAGTCATTGGGAAGGTAGCAGGGGAGTGTGGTCTGCCAGCATCTGCTTAGATTCCTAAACAAAGCATCATAAACTAGGTGGCTTATAAACAGCAGAAGTTTATTTCTCACAGTTCTGGAGACTGGGCATCCAAGATCAAGGTACTTGCTGGAAGATTCAAAGTTCGGTAAAGACAATCTCCTCGTTCTTACATGCTATCTCCTTACTGTGTCCTCACATAGCAGAAGGACAAACAAGCTCCCTTTGTCTTTTTTAATAAGGGTACTAGCTCCCTC